GCTGCAATAAACATGGGTGTGCATATATCTGCTTGGATGTCAGCTATGGTCTCTTCAGGGTATATTCCCAGTAGTGGAATTGCTGGGTCAAATGGTATCCCTATTTGCAACTTTTTGAGAAAGCGCCATACTGCTTTCCACAGGGGTTGCACCATTTTACACTTGCTGTGGTTAATTCTGAAAGCATTCAGAGTTACAAAGAAGAAGCCAAAGAATTTCCTTTGAAATTGTAAGCTCCCTCATTCTGTGATAGACGTTTCTAGACAAAGGGAGAACGTTCACTGTAACTGGGAAGGACCCACATTAATTCCGTTTGTACTACAGGTATGGCCTCAAGTGAGGGAATGAATCATTTGCATCACGGTACACCAGCGTTTATTTGACTGTGCTTACTTAATTTGCATTGCATATTAATATCCTCATTTCATTACATAATGAAATTAAACTTTTATTTACATCAGCACCAAGATTAATTAAATCATGAAATTACCTGATCATAAAATGGTTTCCAGTTTGCACAGTTGGTGCTTTTGACCTTAGCAATACCAGAAGGCATGACACATCTATCTTCCTCTCCCTCTCCAGGTTGTGTCAGAGGCCCCAAGGGTTCACCAGGCTTGCGAGGACCTCCTGGCCCCACAGGTAACACTTTCTGGAACATTTGAGAGCGCTTCCAACTTTCTTCTTTACAGCTTCACTTCTCCTTTTTCCTCTTCTTTGTACTCACTTCAGGTGCTCTCCCTCCCGTCCCTAGATGTTGCAGCACCATTTTGGCACTCTACCATCGGCTCTTATAGTCTCTATGGGCGGCACAGTGTTATTCTTTGCTATTTGAAAAATGTACGTGGTAATTGATACCTTTTTTGAACTGCAGGCTGTGAGAGAAAAATTCCTGCCACAGGGAAAACTCAACACTTAGCTATTTCTTATAAATAGAATAAAACTTGGAGGACACACGTAAAGTGACAATGACATTCCAATTAAGTTGTTGGGATTTTTTTTTAATATTGAAGCCTCCTCTATTGAGAAGGAAAGCTTACCTCTTAGTGTATTCTGATGTTTTGGTTTGGTTTTATTTTTAATAAATGAAGCCATTTATGTCATTTGAACTTACAGGGAAAGATTTTGACTCCATGGAAAACAAAAATAAATGAGGATAGGAAGTTTTGTCTCTCCTTGTAGGAGGGCTTGGTCACTGGCATGTACTGGAAACCTGTAACAGTGAGCACACATGGAAATAAGTAAGAATTTTCTATCATGGAGCCTAGGTCTAGAATCACCCATGGCTGTTAACTCTGTTTCTTGCATCCTGAGCAACTATGGTGCTCTGGTGACACTTGCTTCTCACTTGGATTTTATTCCCCAGTGGCCCCAGGTTTTCCGTGGGGGTGAATGAATCACAAGAGCACAAGGTAGAAGGCACTTCCAGACATGCTTTTTAATCACCTAGCACAGAAGGAACGTGCTGTTGTAGGAGTTCGCATTATCAATGTCTGTAAACCAAGACAAATTAGTACTTTGACGAGAGTTCATCTCAAAGAGAATATCCTTTTGATGTCTCTCTTTGGTGACTGTGATAAGACAAATGTCTTAACACTCCATCAGTGAACTCACTCAGCTTATTCAGCATTTAGACATGAAACATGGAGTCAAAAAGCCTGTACCTGTTCCTTCTGGAACTTACCAATGTGCTCCATGCTTCCTGCATCACTGATAAACTCTAACACTTCAAGTGAAAAACTATACAAGACACTGTGTACACTATAAAGTGCTAAGCCTGAGTAACAGAAAAAAAGACTACAAATGCCCCTCAGAACAGCAAAAGTGTTTAATTTTTTTTCCATTGGAAAAAAGCATGGCAACCTACTGGTTGTGTCCTGGACCTTTTAGGCACTTTCCAGATCACACTTCTGTACTGGGGTGAGGGAGGGAACAACCAAAACCAAAATGCAGGCATCACTTGCACCATTAAACTGAGTTAAATGTCCCTCATATCTGCACTTAGACCTGAAAGGGACAAGGAATGTGTCCCAATGTGAGACATGGTGGGTCCAGTACAGGTCATTAATTCTTGCTTCCAGGGTTGGTGTTAATGTCAGTAAGCTCAAATTTCTTAAAGTCTCTCTAAGACCCTTTTCTGTCCCAACACACACACACACGGGAGGATGGAAAGGGGAAGAGAGCTTTATAAAAATTACTTCAAAGAATAAGCTCATGTGATCAAAATCAGTAGGGGAAGTGATAGGCTGAAGGCACCCAGACTTGAATCACAAAATCTGTACATTAGTCAATAAATATCTAATTTAATCTTCATAATGCCTCCATGAAGTAGGTGGTGTTATTTTTTTCCCACTTTATACATGGGTGTACTGAGGGTGAGATAGGTTACACAACTTGTCTGAGTTCACTAAGATAGAAGAGTCATCAGTGAAGAACAATGTATACAAACTTTGTAAGAAAACCAGTTGTTGTTGATTGCCATTGAGTCAAACATGACTTATAGTGACCTTATGAACAAAAGGCCTGAAGCTTTTGTATACCTATCAACATTTGTCAAAGTTCATAGAGTTTCCAGAGGCCTGTTTAGGAAGTACAGTATAAAACAAAAATTTTTATTTATTCTTTTTTTAAAAAGAGTAGTCAGGATTTGTACCCTGGTACTCTAACCTCAGACTCTAAAACATTAATTAATGTAGTCTTAATATTTAATCTTATTCTTAGCATAATTAAAATATATTACGCATATTTTTTTCAACACTGAAAGTCATTACATTATCTCAGAGGTGCTGTTTTAGAACTGACATTCCACTGGCCTCATTATGCCGCAGTTTTTAAAGGAAATACAGAACCTGACTTAATTGTCATGATCTACTAGTGGGGTTTCCTGAGAAGAATCTGAAGTGTTTTCTGGTTTATTTGGTGTGTTTAGGTGCCAAAGGCCTCCCAGGATTACCAGGATTCTCGGGACCCGATGGGGAGCCAGGACTCAAGGGATTCCCAGGAGATCCAGGTCGTGAAGGATTCCCAGGACCACAAGGTGAGTTAAAAGTATACCCTGGTCAACACTTTAGGTTCAAGAAATGGCCTCTGTGTGTGGTGAGGAACCCCAGTGCCATTGTCTCTTAACACTTAAGAACTAGCTCAACAAACACTTACTGGCAACTTTTGTACTTACGGTTGGAAGATTCAAAGTTCTTGATTTTATCAACACTATTACTGTACTTTGGCATATACTGGCTTTTTTGCAGATCTCCCGGAGTGAAAGAGAAGGGGAGAAACTAAGTGTTTGAGATAATGAATACATGAAAGAGTTTATTGCTCTATAGTAAACATTCTAAGGAAAGTATATTACTGTTCTCTTCTAAGATGAGCTATTCTGAATTACTGTTGGCACAGACACTACTCTTTTATTCAATTTCTGAATTTGCTAATCACCAAAGACTACCCAGACAGCCTACATATATCTCACCTTTGACTGCAAAGCCTGCTTGTTATGCAGTGTCCACTTCATCTGGGTAAACAGCTCTAACTAGTCCATCTACATTTTGACACAGAAAAGAAATATGGAAGCTAGTAGGAGACCAAAGGCTTTAAAGTCTTGCCAATATATGAAGAAACGGAATGTGTGTCCAGTATAAGTTAAAAAACAGGGAGTACTCACTTGTGGGCAGCGTACTCTACAGTGTAACTCCCAAAGTTCCCAGACACAGCTCTCCATGTGTGCTGACAAATAAACTTAGGTGAGTTCAGCATGATCTCATCACTTTGCTGTCAGAGGTTCATACATGTTTGGGGATTACAGTATCTAAATGTAGAAGACATTAAGGATACCATCTTTACCAATGCCAGCCATCCTTTCATGGGACCCTGATTAAGTATTCTTGATGCCTTTTCTGAAGCCCCTCTCTTTATATAGGACCTGTGAAACAGTGAAGTACTTTCTAGAAGATTCTTCCTATCTTAAAATGAAATCTGCTTCCCACGAAGTTTCTTCCTTGTTTATTCTTCAGCCACCTTAGTGTACTTCCTCCTTGTCATCCCTCACCCTCATTGGAAAAGAGTGTGATCCTATCTTCCCATAGAGAACTCATTTCCAGGCAGAACTGATCCTGGCAAGGAAAACTTTCTTTCTATGACATAATTTCCCAGCCCTCTGAATTCCTATCACCCTTCTTTCTGTAACTGCCCTCGAGTTGGTCAGCATTCCTTTCAAGCTGGATCCAGACACACTTCACATGTCTGGAATTTCACAGACAACAGTGAGCCTGTTGTATCTTCAGATTTAAACACTTGGCAAATAGTCTTCAGCAGATGCTAAGCAAATGCAACCTCTTCCCTGCCATCCACTCAGATAATTGCTTCAATTCTAAATGCAGAATTGTGCATCACTGTGTGACAAATTTTATCTTGCATCCAGTCCATAAAAATTATTGTGACCTTGACACTGTTGCCTTTTATACTATGCCTTGCAAAACATCTACCTGTGTTTTGCAAAATTTATAAGCATGTTTTGTGAGTCCTAATTCAAAGCACCAATAAAAACTATGCCTTAGAGAAAAGCAAAGAGAACTTTCTCTCCCTCCACTCTGTATCATTTCACTCGCCTGAAGTGACCACTGTGCTAATACCTCATATACTAATGTTTAAGCACCTATTGTTTTAAAAGAAAAATAATAATTCATTAATAGCTCCCTTCTGTCCTTGACTATGAAAGGTACTTAGTAATTATAATGAATGCATAGCCAAGGGGACATGAAATTTATCCAACTCTCTGCTCTACTGGAGGCTATATTTGGACAGTCAACAGTATGTTGGAAGGTTCATTCCGTATTAAAATTAAGTCCTTGAGACTGAAGTGCTGTATGAAGAACTGATCTATTCAACTTTTGCAATGCCTTCCACTTTCATGGTACTTAAATATACTGTATCCCTAGGTGGTAAAAGCCAGTATTAGCACTTTTGACTGCTGATTTAAAGATTGAAGGTTCAAGTCCATCCAGGGACACCTGGAAAGAAAAGTTGACCATCTGCTTCTGAAGAATCAGCCAATGACAGCCATATGGTGCGCGGTTCTACTATGACATGTGTAGAGTCACCATGAGAAAGAGTCGGTAGCAGCTACCCTCCACCCCAGCGTGGAGAGGAAAAGAAAATGTGCAACTTCAGACACTCACACTCACCGTCACGGCCATAGAGTCAGGACAGAATGCCCCTTCCGGCAGGTTTTTTACACAAGGAAGAGATTACCCCTCTTTCTTCGGAGGAGTCTCTGTTGAATTTGCACCTCCTGAGAAGCACAGTCTGTGGGTGGGCGTACTCCTCCCTGCAGACTGCCACCAGGGCTCCCTTGCTTTGGAGATGACCACCCTCAAAACTAAAAAAGAAGTCAGTTCAAGATCTATGTGTGAGGATTTAAGCCCATATTTCTTCAAGCACCGTTATTTGTTATTACAAATTAAAAGATCTGGTTGGTTTAGGGTTCATGATTTTTAAAAAATATTTCCATAAAAGTTCTAGTTCTTCTTTATGTGAGCAAATCGCATCATTAAAGCTTTGAAATGAGGACCAAGCTAATTAATACTCAGTTTATCTCTTGATCTTTTGTTCTGTTCCAAACACGGTGATACCAATTAATCCATCTTCCAGCTCACAGGCCAGGCCAGTGCTTTGCAGTCATAGAAAAGGCCTGAGGTCCTGTTCACTGAATCTGTTTTGTTTGATACACAATACAGAATGGGTAGAACATTCCTTCTTCCCCATTTCCCAAACATAAGGTGTGGAGCCTTTTGTGTATTTGATCCTTTGGCTTATTGTCATCTCGAGAGCATTATTCTCATAGTTGCAGGGCTCTCTCTTCTTACAGCAGAGTTAGCAGTGACCTCAGAAACCTTTACTCCTGAACAAATATGTGACTGTCAGCATGTGGAGTTCAGTCAGAGGTCACATCTGTGTGTGGTACATTGAAAGGGGAAGTAGCATGATGAGATAATTTGACCCTATGGTGTCAACAAAAGGGACCACTATCCAAGCCAGCACATGACAGTCACCTTCTCTCCATCCCAATATGTGATGGCTGGAGATTTTTTTAGTACGTGCCACAGAGGGGTATCACTCTCCCCAAAGTGTTTGCAAAATGGTTGGCTGACTAACTGGATAGATTTATTACCAGGAAAGCAGGATTTTGACTCTCTGATTCTTCTGCCTGCCTCGCCTCTTTCTGATCACAGAATCTAGATGGTCCCATGAGACCTTTTTTTGGTGATTATATTCAAACTATGAATTATGAGGATATAGATACACAGAGAAGTTAGTTCTGTGAGCCTTGTCTACCTGAGCTACGTTTCAGGGCTAGTTTCCAGATGAAAAAGGGCAGTAAAAGAAATTGACAGAACCAAGACCATTATGAGAGCTGTGGATTCCACAGTGGGCCTTCAGCTGAAGTTAAGCTTATGAAGACCTTGTTTATGAATCTTCACAGTTTTCAGCCCCTTTCTGATACTTCTTTTTAGGATGGCATAATGCTAACCTGTAGTTTTGGGGGCACCCATGTTTCCTTTCAGGCTTTGTAGGACCCCGAGGATCTAAAGGTGCAACAGGACTCCCTGGGCCAGATGGATTGCCAGGTCCCATAGGCCTTCCAGGGCCGGTAGGACCGCCAGGAGAAAGGGGGCTACCTGGAGAAGTCCTCGGAGCGCAGCCTGGACCCCGGGGGGATGCTGGACTACCTGGACGCCTGGGGCTGAAGGGCCCACCCGGAGAAAGAGGGCCTCCTGGATTCAGAGGTAAGCCACCATTTCCGGAGAAAGGGAAATAGGGTCTAGTCCTATCTGTCACTAGAACTGTGCCCCCAGCGATTATTCTGAAGTTTCTTGTGGGGTTCTTGGTAAGAATCCACAATTCTGAAGGAAACTAGCCTTCTTTTTCTTCCCTGTGTTTAGTTCCAATAGTCCTTTGGAATGTTTTCATTACAGTAATAATAATAGTAATAATATTCCTCTGTTTATCTTCTATAGCCAGTAATGTACAGCCATTTGATACCTTTCAAATTACTGTTGAAATAATATACTCTGTCCTCAAGTTGCATGGAATCATCATGAGAGCCATGTGATTGTTGAAAATTGGGGTTTTTCCCCCTGAGTTTGTCCATTTGATATAAAGGAAGGATGGATAAGGCCAGGCTTTGGAATATAGGAATCCCCTGGAATACAGTGTAACTGACTGCTTTTAAATGGATTGCTTTAAGAACTTTTTAAACTATGTCTACAACATTACCAATTTCTGTTTACCACAGAAATACAAACTTGAGAGCTCATAGAAACACTACAGTGTGAGTGAACACCAGACTGCTTCAGGTGTCTAATTTGTACAAAACTGGCTTGGAAAACCCCAAACCCACTCATTTAAATGAAAGATTGTGTTGCTGATTAGTCAACATTTATGTCAGTGAACCACATGCTGGAGATTCCTAAATCATGGAGTCACAGGACATAGCCTCCATGTTCCAGGTCAAACATGAAATTAAAGGATAAAATCGTGCCATCGTTTGTTAACCAAATGCACTACCTTCCTTTTTGAACCTCAGTCCAAGACAGAATGGGGACTAAATGATAACAAGAAGCTATTATCCCTTCCTACTGTCAGAAAGCCTTTAAATGAAGATATTCAGGGTCTGATTAAATATCACTCTTTATTGCCAGGTGATCTCATTGACTTCATGACACATATTAATTTTCAGATTAACTTGTCAGTTTCCAAGCAATGCCAAAGGAGGACAGGTGGTGTTTGAGGATGATGAGAAAGACAGGTACATACAACCATTGCTGCTGACTAGGAGAGCCACCAGAAATGGATGCTGTGGCCCACAGAGTGCTTTCCTGTTGTTTGACTGGGCAACAAGTTAGACTAGGCCTGGATAAAGGAGCCTAAAAAGCCCAAGAATGGCTAGAGCAGACACAACACATCCCTGAGCCCTTTGCCCAAGAACCAGCCAAAGTGAAGGGCATTCAGTAACATCACCAAGGCAACAGAGACCCTGTACTAAGGCATCTGGGGTCTGCCCTCACCAGCTTCACTAACTCTAGATCAATTATGAAATATAAAATATAAATCAGCGATTATCTGCAGAGACTGAAGGAAGACTTGGCAGTGCCAACAGAGCGTGCCCTCTGCTTGAGCTTTGCCTCTTGGTTGCTTAAATGAGTGCCACTTGCAGAGTAAAGGGAGGCAGAGTGGAGCGCACACTTCCTGATGTCAGCATTTCCACCATCAGTCGGCTTGGCAGGCCAGCTGTGAAAACTGTGCCCCTAGCTATTTTTACATAAGTGTGTTTTTGGTAGTGTTTTGTTTTGGTTGGGTTGGGTTTTTTTCCTTAAATATTTCCTGCAGGCGTCAAAATTTTTGAGAGTGAAAACAATGAAACCAAAAAAAAAAGAAAGAAAGAAATGATAGCAAGCTTCTTTTCAGATACTTTACAAAGGTCTCTGCTACTTTTTGGAGCCCTTCTGTGACAAGTTTCATAAGCTTTGTTCAGGCAGAATCTCTTATTGTGCAGAATTTCTGACTTCCTTAAGATCAGAGCTTGGGAGTTGCTGTCTCACCTCTGAAGTGATATCTCATACCATTAACACCACGGCGTCAGTACAAAGGGTAGTCCCGCTTCTGGCTCAATGGTTTCAACCCATTGAAAAGACACATAGATGTGCGCTGTGCCTTGAACAAAATGCTCTGAAACAAGTATGCATGCAAGCATACAGATTAAATTTTCATTTAGCTGAAGGGAGTGGATTTTTTTAGTTGTTACTCCTTTTTTTTAACAGATGTTCCATAAATGGAACTTGACCTAAAATATTCAGCATCAAAGCAGTAATCACAATAAGCAAGTGAAGGAATTCAATTACCTCAGTGCTTAATTTTTTTTCTTAAGGCAAACACTGAAATCACAGGAGTTCTTTTCATCCTTATTAACTCCCGGCCTGTGCAGCCCCAGGCTGGTCTGTCAGGAAAAGCAGTAGAGACAAGCATTCGGACCATCCATCCTCCCTCCTGTTGACCTCAGCTCTGCTTATTTTACTTGCTGAGCTGTTCAAGTTCCTCCATAATATCAGCCTTGCTTGATTATGATCATTAGCATGTGCCTTTCAGTCCCTCCCTCCCCACTGCCCTTGATGAGCAGGTATATCTGTGAAGAAGACCTTGACATTGCCTATTAAATCTTAAATCTTTATAGCCCACAGTGATGTCTACCTATTCTTGAAAAACCATTAGCACCCATAAGCAATCATATCTTTCCCTAGAGCTGTGAGCGCTAAAGATAGAAAACCAAAAAATAAAAGTGTCCTCATTTCCAGTAAGTATATGAGAATAAATGCAGCCAAGCATCTTGAAGAATCTCGCTTTCAGACTTCTGCTTAGAATCCATGTACTGCTTTTTGTAGACATTTTCCTCCAGTGCAAGTTTTTATGATTCAATAGCTAAATCACAAGCTTGATGGACAGGAGGCCCAGCTTATGGCTCCAGGTTGTCCCAAGACTGACCTCATTCTTTGCAGTAATATCCTCTCTACTTCCCCATTCATCGTCCCCATTTGTCTGCTGCCTTCTCTCAGGGCAGCCCCATGACCCTATAAGACTGTTACAGGGATCCAGTTATATAGTGTGTCTGAGGACCATTGGGGAAAACATGGTACCGACACCAAGTGCTGGTACATCTACATTATTAATTATATGACATCTATAACATTAAGCTCCTAGAATAAAAGGGAAGAAATGCTTACGTAAAAGGTAATCCACATAGTATATTAAAAATTCCTAAATTCTATTTAAAAAACCAATTAGAAGACAATATGTGTTCATGATCATCTGACGTCTGGGTAGGACAGGCTATTCAGAACAAAATCGATAAAAGAAATCAGAGAGAGGTATACAGAATGTTTAATATGTACTTACAAAGTTTTATCTTCTACATGTCAAAAAGAAAACTAAAATTTCAACAGCAAAGTAGAGTCCATGTTACCATAAATAGAAAGGAATATAAGCTAATGTATATTTCTTGTTCTATAGTAACACTAGGCCACCAGAGCCCCCACTCGTGGCCCAGTCTGCACTCCCGAAGGCATAAAGTTCGAATGGGCAGTCTCCTCTTGTGCGATACACTAGCTCTGAAAACCTTCTGGGGAATCAGCTATGGGTTGATTCCAACTCCACGGCACACAACAACAATATATGCTGTTGCTCAGTGCCATTTAGACAACCCTGACTCAGAACAATCTGTGTACAACAGAAGGAGGAATTGCCCAATTCTGTGCCGGCCTCACCCTGCCGCTGTTCAGACCCTGTGTCGTTCTGTCTCGGTGAAGGTTTTCCCCTTCTCACTGACCCTCTACTGGCCTAAACGTGATGTCTCTCTTCAGAGATTGGCTCTACCTGAGAACATGTCCAAAGTATGTGAGACAGTCTCACCAGCCTTAACTTTTTTTTTAACTTTGTAAAATACTGTATAAACCTGGGGAGATTAGAGGCCCTTATTATGAGTAAGGCCACTGCTGGGGTAATAGGAGAATAAGTGAGCAAGACATCCTTACCTCCTTAAGAAGCCCTCTGGATATACTTCTTCAGAGACAAGCTTGTTTGTTCTTTTGGCAATCCGTAGTATATTCAATATTCTTTGCCAGCACCATAGAAACACTAAAAATCTGTAAGAAAAATACCAAAATCCACAAGGGAAAATAGAAGCTTAGAACAGAAATGTTATCAAATAACAAAAACCTAGAGGAAAGTAATTTAAAGAATAATCAGAAACATGCTGACATGCCATTTTTCATTATTCTGATGTGCCAGATTTTTGCGTTTCTTTAGTGCTATCACTTAATCAGCTGAGGAGACCCTGAGACTAGAGGAAATTAGTGCAGGCTTTTCCATGAGCAATGTCACAACATCTGTTAAAAGCATCCCGTTAGCTTTTGCTTTAACCACTAAGTTAATTCCTAGGCATTTTCCTTAAGAAATTACCTGCAATATGGATGGATATTTGAAAAGTCTGTTCCTCATTGATTGCAATGATAATCATACAGAAAATGGGAGAAGGGAAAGCCCTAACTATATCTGTATAATAGGGTATGAGGATGACACAGGCTAAGGCAAGATTCAGATCTGTCTTTCATAAGGCCATTATGAGTTGTATTCAACTCGATAGTGCCTAACAATATTCACATGCAATAATTTAAAATAACACTTGAAAAGAACATTTTAAAATGCAGAGAATGCTAAAATATAATTTCAAGTGTTGGAGGGAAAACCTAGTTAAAACTGTAGTGATGGTGTGACTTCAGCTCTAAAAATAATTATGTCTAGATATTTGAATGGAAAATAAGACAGGAAGGAAAGATATTTAAGATGTTAGGGATTTCCACTGAGTGACGGTATGACATGCATTTTCTTCTTTAGACTTTGTATTTTCCAGAGAATTGGGAAAAATAAGTACTGTATTTATGAAGTCAGTGTTGTTTCTAATCACTGGTGGTAGAATTGGCCTCACAGCTCTTGTCTCTGACTCCTGCAGGAAGCCAGGGGATGCCTGGCATGCCAGGGCTGAAGGGTCAACCGGGCTTCCCTGGGCCTTCAGGCCAGCCAGGACTGCCAGGGCCACCCGGACAATACGGATTCCCAGGAGCTCCTGGACAACCAGGACCCTTGGGACTTCCAGGTGCTGTTGGCCGTGGAGGTAAGGAATCCAGCCCTCCCACAGAGGGGAGGGATCAGGTCACCAATAGCTGCTGAACTCGTACCCCCATTCCCTGACGGGTTATCAAACAGTGCACTTAGGAACCCTCCCTTCAGTGTTGCCAAGGTCACAGAACAAGGACATGCCTTCTACCAAATAAGGAAGACTTCAACAGCCTGAGAAAACTGTCTATCATTTGTACCTCTTGCATATTTGGGGGCCCTAGGGAAAACTTCAGGACACTTTGTTAGCGTGGTCTGTAGAAGTTGTGCTCACCCAAAGACCACACCTCTCCTGGTGGTTCAAATGCACCAGCGGTTCCATGGGAGAAAAATGGTCAGCCTCCTCTTCCCCAGCTTTTTTTTTTTTCCTGTAATTATATTTTATTAATTTCCATAAACATTTACAGAGATTTTGGGCTTCCACTCATTCATTGTTGCACTATTCTCTCTACCCTCCTCCCAGTTTGTTCTTGTCCAAATGCCACAGTGCTTGTCAAAGCCAGTTCTGATTAATCTTCTTTGTCAGTGTATCCTTTGCCATTCCCTATCACTCCTCCCTGAGAGAGACTTCACCCTGAGTCATAAGGAAAAGGGGACGGCATATTCTCTTAGCTACTTCCTGCTGAAAAGGGACGCTGTGGGTTTCAGGGTGAAGATCTTCTCTCACTACTCTAAAGGGCCCCTTTGGCAGTAGGAAACACATAGACTATTATGGAGATTGATTTTGGAATTCAGATGCACTCTTATTGATTGTGCTTGGCTGTACATGTACATATCCTTCAAGATGTATCATGGGGGTGTTGCAACCTAGAAGACACAAATTTGACTAACAAGTTGTAAGTACATGAGTCCAAAAATTATGGAAAAGTAAAAGAAAAGATTCTTTCATTGTTTTACAAACCCTCCCCCAGGTCCCCTCCACCATGCAGCCCTCGCTCTAGTCTCCTGTGATGACAGAAATACCCAGTTACATCTCTCTTTTAGACGGTTCTCTCCCTCCTCTGCTTCAGTGCAGTATACATTATTGAACCCATCTTACTCAGTGTCTCCCTAACCCCAAGGACGGTCCCATTCTACAACAGTGGCATCATGTAATATTTGTCCTTTTGTGACTTCTTCCCCAGCTTTTAAGAGCCTCGGAAACCCTGTGGAGAGCCAGTCCGGAGGCTCCAACTCAAGGGCATTTGAAATTTCATTAGAAAAAAAAATCTCACTGCAAATGGTCCAGTATTCTTCCTGTTAATTGGAGAAGAGAAATTAATATGTGTTTTTTGAAAGTGGAATGATTTAAGGGAACAAAAGGAAGTCTTAGTTTAGAGAAAAATAGGTGGGCAAGGTAGGTGTCATCATGGAATGCATGGAGACCTTTAAGCCCACACATCACACAAAGACTAAGTGGGTGCATTGGGGAAGTGTAAGAAGGCATAGACCCCAACATCCATAGGCATCGCCACAACTGACTGCTGAATACTGACCTCTTCACATAGCTGTGGTCTTCTGCATTTATCCACAGAAATCCATCAAGATTTTACAACTTTTTTATTTTGCCAAGTACGAATTCTTTTCAAAACTTAATCTATTTTTGCCATCATTCTATCGAAGGGCATTGAAAGGTAGACAGGATACAGTTGTTCAATAAAGGACAGTCAATGGAATCAATTTTTCCCTTTTTAAAAGCTCATGACCCTGTCCTTGATTTTCTCATTTTGAGATAGCCGTTGCTACAACTCTGTCAAGGATTATTGTTCATCGATGTTAAGGAGCCACTGTACTTCACAGTAATTCAGATATAAGCCAGGATGCTTGTATATACATTAGCCTCAGCCCGTCCTCTCATAAACAACCTGAACTGTCTCCAGAAACTCAGCATGTGAGGAGGGTGGAACCCTGATAATCCATTGTCACCCAGACCTATTGCCATCAAGCCTGTTTTGGCTCACAGCTACACAATAACTAGAGGAGAAGTACCCCACAAAGCTGTACATCTTTATAGAAGCACTCAGCCACATCATTCTCCCATGGAATAGTCAGTGTGTTTGAACTACTGACCTTTAGGTTAGCAGCTAAGCACTTAACCCCTGCACCAGCAGGGCTCTTCTAAGGCCGGGCCGGTCAGTACTTTTACAGGGTAATAAAAATCTTGTGGAGGAAATTTAATCCCTTGTATTTCAGAAGTCCTTGTCTCAATTAAAAGTTCTTTATTACCAAATATTGCCTAAGCCCATTGTAGCCTGTGATGTGAAAGTCCTTGTCTTAAAGGGGCTTTTATTTTAGTTGGGGACTAATGACAAATTCATTGCCATTGACACAGTTCTGACCCATAGTGTCCCTCCATCTGATTTCCAAGGCCATAAATTGTTACAGAAGACTGGCCCATCTTTTCCCTATGGTGTAACTGGTAGCCTCAAATAGAGCACCTGCCGCCTTATTTGTTGAGAACCCAACATGCAGTGCACGGTGCCACCATAAACGTCATTGTCGTCAAGTCAGGACAGTCTCATAGGTGACCTTCCAGAGGCTGTTAATTGCTCAGGACGTGGTTGCTTAACTTTCTCCCTCAGAGCAGCTAATGGATTCAAACCCCTTTCTCCCTACCAGTAGGCCATTGGGGCTCCTTTAACTGGAGACAATATAGCACAAGTTAAAAGGCATGTGTTTGGCGAGACAAGACTAAAAGAGTTACCCATACCATGAGTTTCCAGATCTTTCTGAGTCAGAGAAGCTGGGTAGGTTAGAAGTGATCTTGGAAGAAGGAAACGAAGCTGGAGTAGGCATGCAAAGTCATCATGGATGGAATAGGTTGGAAGAAGAAAAGTTTCTAGAGGAAAGAAACCGCTTTACAACCAGCCAGATACAAAGAATGCTTTAGAGCTGTGATCGCTCAGCTTGGCTGGAGTAGAATGCGTAATCTGAGGAGGGAAGTGGTGATTTGGATAGAAAAATGGGAGCCAAAGTTTAAGGACATTGAATGCCAAGGTAAGAAATTTGTTCCTGCCAGGCAAAGGGGGCCACTGAAAGTTTAACAGATGAGTGCATTCAAAAAGGCATTTCAGGAACCCGGCTAGTAATGGTGATGTGTGATGGTGTGGAGTAGGGAGAGTCTGGAAGAAGATATGATCTGGGAAGCTAGTGAAGTCATCAAAGTTAAGATAATGATATGGGACAAGGGAGAGGACAGGAGGGGTGGAATTGGCATGTATACTGGAGACCTTTCCCTGAGAATATCATTTCCAGAGCTGGCAGATGATTAGGAAGTACAGGGAGCCCTCTGGACGTAACCCCAGCAGTCATGGCCATTGGTAATGCCCTTTCCATTGCTGCCTTATCACGCCAACATTATGGCTTTTGTTCCTTTGGATGTTAAAGACAAGATGGCGTAAGAGGACAAAGTGAGATTCCTCTCACAAGTCATCGCTGGCTGGCATCCCACAGGCTGGCCTCCAACTTTAGAGGAAAGACATTTTTAGAAAGGCCAGCCATGCCGATTTTTCTCCATACTCCTGTCACACTTTTGAAATGTACCTCTGTATCTGCAGTCTTCCATTTCCTTTCCAAAATGCTTTTCTTACCCAGAAGACAGTTGCTAGTTTATGGTGTATAAGAATTCCGAGTCTTCTGTGTGTGTATGTATGTATGTGTTCCTGTTTTATAATTTCCCTTCTCCCCATTTTTTAATTAAATTTTATTAGTTTTAATGAACATTTACAGAGATTTTGGGTTTTCATTCATTCATTGTTTTCTCCACTCTCATCCCCAGTTCGTTCTTCTTCCCCCCCCCATGTCTGTTTTAATTGTCCAATTGCCACAGTGCTTGTCAAAGCCAGTTCTGATTAATCTCCTTTGTCAGTGTGTCCCTTGCCATTCCCTATCACTCCTCCCTGAGAGAGACTTCACCTTGATTCATAAGGAAAAGGGGATGGCGTATTCTCTTAGCTACTTCCTGCTGAAAAGGGACACGGTGGGTTTCAGGGTGAATGTCTTCTCTCAGTACTCCAAAGGGCCCCCTTGGCAGTAGGAAACACATAGACTATTATGGAGATTGATTTTGGAATTTAGATGCACTGTTATCAATTGTGCTTAGCCGTACATGTTCATATCCTTGAAGATGTATCATGGAAGTGTTGCAGCCTAGAAGATACAAATTTAACTAACAAGTTAGAAGTGCATGAGTCAAAAATTGAAAAGCAATGGTATTCTGAGTAGAGGTTCTAATAGTGGCACAAATCAAGTTACAGAGGTAAGGTGGTTCCATTGCCATCCTTACTCTAACTTAATTCTTTTTTTTAATTTAAATTTGTTATTAATTTCAGTGAAAATTTACAGAGGCTTTGGATTTCCATTCATTCATTGTTGTAGATTTGTCCCCTCCCAAGGTTCCCCCCCACCAGACATTACCCTCTTGGAAAAGTAAAAGAAAAGATTCTTTCATTATTTTACAAACCCTCCCCCAGGTCCACTCCACCATGTAGCCATCGCTCTAGACTCCTGTCATGACCGAAATACCTAATCACATATCTCTTTTAAACCGTTTTCTCCCTTCTCTGTTTCAGAGCAGCTTGCATTATTGAACCCATCTTACTCAGTCTCTCCCCAGCCCCAAGGACCGTCCCATTCTACAACAGTGGCACCATGCAATATTTGTCCCTTTGTGACTGGGACATTTCACTCAGCATAATGTTCTCCAGAGTCAACCATTTTGAGTAATATTGCATGAGTTCCTTGTTTTTTAATGCAGCATAGTATTCCATTGTGCGAATATACCACAGCTTCTCTAGCCATTCGTTTGTTGATGGGCACTTAGGTTGTTTCCAACTCCTTGCTATTGTGAACAAAGCTGCAATAAACATGGGTGTGCCTTCTCCCCATTTTTGCAGGTCTTCCAGGTGACAGAGGGGATCCAGGAGACGCGGGTGTCCCTGGCCCTGTGGGCATGAAAGGGCTTGCTGGTGATAGAGGGGACGCTGGCTTATCTGGTGAGAGAGGACATCCAGGAAGCCCTGGATTCAAAGGAATGGCTGGAATGCCTGGTATCCCTGGGCCAAAAGGTAACTGTAGACCCATAGCAATGAGAATAACCTTGACAGGGGGAGCAGGCTGGTTAAGCTGGGACTGGCATGGCTCTTTAATAATTTGCAATATTGTGTCCATTTTATTCAGAGCTAACTTTTCTCTTATTCTATAAAGGTGACAGAGGTTCACCTGGAATGGATGGTTTCCAAGGCATGGTTGGGCTTAAAGGAAGACCTGGCTATCCAGGAAACAAAGGAGAGGCTGGATTTTTTGGAATTCCTGGTCCCAAAGGTCTGGCTGGTGAACCAGGTGTTAAAGGTATGTACACCTGTTTACCGCCCAAGTTAATCCTCGTCCACCCTCTTGTAACTGATTTATCTCCCTCTTCCTCTCCCTCTCACCCTTGGTGAGCATCACAGACTGTTTCCCTTTGTGATTGTGATGGTTATTGTTAGTTGTTGTTAAATCACTTCATTCTTATGGCAAAAAAACCAAAACATAGCACAACCATTTTCTTGAATATTTATAGTAATGATCTCATGCAATATTTCTTCTTCTGTGACTGACAAACTTCACTCACCATAATGTCCTCCAGGTTCATCTATATAAACAGGTGTTGCATAGATTAATCATTATCCTTTACCTTGGATAGTATTCCATTGTGCAGACATACATACGTACATAGATAGCATGTTTCTATATTCATCCATTGATAGACATTTCCATCTTTTTGCTACCGTGGTGCCCATACCTCTTTTTGTACCTGGACGCAACAGGTCTTTATATTTCTTTTTTTTTTAATAAAACTTTATTTTAATTGTGATTTTAACTAACGTTTGCAGAGAAGTTAGATTTTCATTCATTCATTGTTTCATGTTTTACCCCCTTTCCTTCTCTCCCCACTCCCCCTGTTCACTTTTTTTTTAAATATTCATTCATTGTTGTAAAATTACCTACCTCCCCCACACCCGGTCCTCTTCGCCATGATATGCCTATACATCTTAACAGTCTGTTTACATGGCTAATACTGCTCTTCATGATGGTACGGACACTGCTCGGGATGAATCTTTGTGAATCTCTTACATATGGGAAACATAAACCAGGAAACTGGTTAATAAATAAATAAAAGTAAGTAATATCAGAGTAACAAAATACTAAGGGCTTTATTCCTACCTTAATGTGTTAATGATGTTATAAGGGAATACTTCTACCAAAGAAAACAAGAATCAAAGATAACAGCATTAATAACTAAATATGTCATCAAATTATATTCAGTCATGACTGTTTCATGATTAGCGTGAAGTGGCAAAGTTAGGTACAAGCTAGCAGAAAGGTAAATTCTAAGGAGAACCCAGTTTTGGGGAAAGAAGGACAAAGTAGTCCATGTAGAAGAGTACAAGCTTTCAATTTACACTTGGGCTTCCACATAATCTTTGTGTCAACTTAGAAAGTTCAGGGCATTAAACACATACTCAGGGAGCTCTGGTGGCCTTGTGGAAAGAAGCTGCTCTACAAGCCTGAAGGTACATGGTTCAAGTCTACCAGCTACTCCACAGGAGAAAGATAAGCAGTCTCCTTCTGTGCAATTAACTACTTCTGAAAACCCACCAGAGGGTCCGCTATGGGTTGATTCCAACTTGATGGTACATAACAACAATGAGTACACTCTCACAAATGATATTTTAAAATTACGTTTAAAATGAATCAGTGTGGACTTCTCCACCAAGTTTGATTTCTATCTCATCCGAGTATAAATTTTAAAAAAAAATTCCTTCATATGAAATTTGGAAGTGGGAGAAGCATCCACTTCCTAAATAGATAGCATGCCTCCGAAAACTATGAACTTTGATAAATATCGATAGTTGTAGAGGTGCCTCAGGCCTTTTGTTCAGTCTCTGAATCGTGCTCAACTCGAAGGCAATCAACAACAAAGACATATGAGATACTAAGAGAAACCATGCTGACTTTTTCCTAGCTCCCATCTGTATTATCTTTGTGCACACACAACATTCTGCCAGCAGACCAGGTAGAGAGGGAACAGATCTTCCCACACAAAATAGCACCAGATCCCCAACCTCCTCCATTTGTTTACAGATGAGAAAAGAGTGAGGGAAGAGCAAAAGAAAGGAGGGAAGATAAGGATTTTCCTTCCCTGCTTTGTCTCAGAGAGCTTTGTCTCCAGCTCTTGGGCTTTCTGGTTGGGCTTAACGAGCTGCCCTGGTGGCTTGTTATCTCGGGCTCCAGCTTTGATGGTGAGCAGTGAGGCTAGGAGGCCTTCTCCACTAATGTTCTTTCATGTTGTCTGGAAAGCAAGGGAAATGAGTGTGTACTTTTCTCTTCAAGGCAATCGTGGGGATCCCGGCCCCCCAGGACCACCTCCCGTTATCCTGCCAGGAATGAAAGACATTAAAGGAGAAAAAGGAGATGAAGGACCAATGGGATTGAAAGGATACCTGGGCATAAAAGGTGAGGATCACTATCAAACTCAGAGCAACCTATGAGTTGTTGGTTCTGGGGAGCAAAGATGTCCCTTCTCCCTCCCCATCCCTTACTCCATTCTCTCTCTCTCTCTCTATCTCTATCTCTATCTCTATCTTTGTTGTGGGTATGTGTGTGTGTGTCTCGCTTGCTATCTCTCTCTCTCTCTCTGAAGGAGCAGCAGCTTCTCTGCATACAGATGCCCTTGGGTTTGTGCCATAATCTGGTTTGTATTTTACCTCTTCTGACATCTTGACATCTCTACAAGTAGGCTTAAAAAATCCTCTTTGATGCCTGAGTAGCTTCAGTTTCTCTATTTAAGATTTCCAGCACTTGGGATAACAAAACTGAAGGCTTTCGGAGGGTGAGTGTCATATTCCCACCAGAGTTTACATACCTCGGATCTTCCTTACAGGTCTTCAAGGAATGCCCGGAGTGCCTGGGCAATCAGGAATTCCTGGGTTACCTGGGAAGCCCGGTTATATCAAAGGAATAAAAGGAGACATTGGAGTCCCCGGCATGCCTGGTTTACCAGGATTCCCTGGCGTGGCTGGTCCACCTGGAATTATAGGATTTCCAGGGTTCACTGGGAGCAGGGTAAGTTGACATGTTTTGCTTCGCTCAGCTCGGTCTTCTGATGCTTGTTGAGGAAAGTGCTTTAACCCAGCATTTATTGGGATAAGAGCAATCAAGTGGTAGGTTCCAGGTCAGAAGTCTCAGACATCTCTAAATCCACAAAGAAGAATAAGGAAATGCTGATTATGTGTCTAACAGTGCTCTGAGCATCCACCATATCCATCAAGAGTTTTTGTTGGGGGGAGCTCTGGTGGCCTAGTGGCAAGAAGCTGCACTGCAATCCCAGAGGAACACGGTTCGAATCCACCAGACGCTCTGCCAGAGAAGGAGGCACAATATCCTCCTGTACCAGTCAGATCTGATTTGACAGTACACGCACACAAAATAAAAAAAAAAGAAAAGAAAGAGTTTTTGTTGGATAAAACATGGAGCCTCCGACAATTTTAGAAGAAAATCCCATATTTCCCCCCGCCCCACTTTGATGGGGGCCTTAGAAGAATAAACTTTCATGCTATAGATATCAGAGCTCTAAGCTTGAGCACATAAGTACACCCAGGATTGAGAGTCTGTTACTGAAAGGATTGGAGTCAGATAGGATTGGAGTCAGAGAACCTTCACTCAGATCCTAGCCCTATGATTTAGTCATATCTTCATTCAGAAGTGTTTATAAGTACTTGTTATCAACCAGACAGATATTATGTTGTAATGATGGCAATAGTGAACAAGGCTCTTATCTACTTCCTCACACCTTGCATATCAACCTTGCATATTTATTAAAAGAAAAACAGATAATATGCTGATATTAACATGGCTTTCTAGGAGCTAATTTTATAGGGGAAAAATCTATCTTCTTTCACATAAACATATTATTCCCTCAAAGTCTTGGTACTCAGCTAACTCGTTTCCAGCAGTCAGGGTAGAATCTGGCATCTTTTAGGCAGATTGGAAGTTCTAGTAAACCATGACCCTGACTGGCCCCTCTGTCTAGCCCACCGTAGTGGGCACAAAGTCTCAGAATTCTTCAGAAGATATTCTTTCTTTCATTATTGCCAAAAGCCATAACTGAATGTATCTTGTAATTAGTCTTAGGTGCAGCCAGTCTG